CCACAACTTGTTTCCGATTTCAGAGTAGACGACGTTTCTCTCAGACAACTGTGGCTCCAAAGCCTTCCACAGTCGATTCAAGGCATTCTGCACCCTTCCATCAGTCTCTTTCGGTTGAAATAGCTGAGACTGAGGACAGAGCGACAGAAACTACTCAACAGCAACATAGACTGAGAGCAGCTATCGGTTCGGCCACTGGCTCAAGCCTTGAGTTAGAGTTATGTCCATCAGGTAGCTCTTTAAGTTTCGTCCCTATTGCTCATTTTATTAAGTGTGTGGAGGGCTCTGCAACATCCCCAGGGAGAAGAACGATTGTCAGTTGTCACGCAACAATTCTTCTCTACCACTTTCCCGATCAGGCACGAGACATAGACGCACTAGACCGCAACCAAAGAACTCTCTACCTGGGACTTGCTAGCATCAAGAATGCTATGGTGCCAACGCGGGACAATGCGCCAAACCGTATGCTTTTGACTCCAAGAAGCTGGGAAACATGTAAGCCAGCGCCCGATGGAAACTAAATTTCCGGCGAACCCATGGCCATTCGCCTCCTCCAAGTGGCTGATAGCCATTCGAGGATACGCCTCCTGGTACACACTGAAGCGGAAATTAGCGCATTCCCGCCCACCATAGAGAAGTGACTGTGGCCAACTTTTCCAAAACTCCGTGATACTGATAGTTCCCCCATCACAACATAAGTACCAAGTCACTCATCCTAAACCTTCGACCATGCCATACGTATCGGCGGATTTTCATCATTGCTGATGTGACCACCGGTGTGGTTGACATGGTTCTATCACACTGTTGGTTTCTGGAAGGTACAGGTAACTGCAAGTCAAGCCATTCTGCCCCAGAATGCTCTGTTTTCGGCATTGTCATCAGCTCACCCTCTGTCCGCTCGGCGTATTTTGACTCTGATACTCCCCTACCTCATACTTACATTGCTTAGTCATTTCCGGAAGCTTTCAAGCTCACATCTGGCGTACCCTGCATAGCACCCAACGTTTCTTGTCCCATAGTGACAACTGGTCCACCAGTTTTCGCCAAACTGCGGCGTTTACCTGAAGACTGAGTTCAAACACATGCTGGAAATGGGTATCATTAGGCTCTCTAATAGCCCATGGTCTTCTCCTTTCCACTTTTTTCAGGGGAAAAATGACATGGAACGGCGGCCTTGTGGTGACTATCGGCGGCTCAACCCTCGAACGGTCTCGCACATATGACTTAACTGCTACTCTACAAGATGAGACGGTCTTCAGAAAGCCTGACCTGGCAGGCGCCTACCATCAAATACCCTTACATCCAGATGACATATCAAAGACGTAAGTCATTACGCCATTCCGCCTCGATGAATTTTTCCGCATGCCTCACGGACCTTCCAGCCTTTCGTCCACGACGTCTTGTGCAACTTAGATCTTGTATATGCCTACCTCGGTGATATCCCTGTGGCGGGTAGAGACAAGGATTACCATCACAATTAGCAAGACTTGCAAGGCTTTTCAAACACTCCATTACTGTCGACCTGAAAAAGTGGCAGCTTCGTGTTCGTTCAATGACTCTCCTTGGTTACGTAGTCGGCGAGCATGGCATTCACCCACCATCTGTAAAGGTGCAGAAGGTTCAAGACTCTGTGGTAATAGCGTCATTTAAAGCATTGCATACATTCCTGGAAATGGTTAGAAGCTATCGCCATTTTATCCCTCAGTGTATACACATTTTAACCACGATAACCGACCTGTTGAAAGGTAAGTGTAAAACATCTCACAAGACTAAAAAGGCAATAGCAGGCGACACAATGTTGATTCACCAGGGTGTAGACCTTCCTCCTAGCATTGCTGTTGATGCCTGTAACATGGCCATTAGAGCTGTTTCGCAGTAACTTTCGGAGCACACTCGGATTTCACTAGCGTTCTTCTCCTGGAAGCTATCCGCATAGGAAATGCGAGACAGCACTTTTGGTCAAGAACTGCTCACCACATACGCCTCAGGTAATCACTTTCCTCATTTCTATGGAGGGTCATGATTTTCTCATATCTACCGACCACAAACCCTTGACTTACGGCTTGCACACTACCACACATAAATATTCGCCTCGTAAAACTGGACTGCATTTCACGATTCAGCTCAGAATTTCGGCACACTTCTGATGTGAACAACCCCGTAGCAGATGCACTGTGTCGTGTTTGTATCACCACTTTACCTTAAAAGATTGACACACAGGGGATTGCTGCACTAAGCTATTCAGACGATGAAATGGAAAAACTTCAACACAACTCCCCTGAGGAGACAGCCTTTACTACTTCTGAACAGTGAACAGACAATCCTATGCGACATGTCTACGGGGACACCGGAGACCTACACGCCACCTACTTTAACACCAATGTGGAAAGGTGTTGCGTTTTTGCTTCATAGTTGCCTTCTAAGGTAGAAGGTTGTCGGTTTCACAGCAATCTTCTAGTGGGGGGGGGGGATGATCTGTACTGAACATTCCTGATACCAAAATAAAACTAGGTTTAAAATAAATAAGCAAAAGTCTAAAATGCATAAATAACAGCTAAATAATCTCTTACGACGGCGTCGAGTGACTTTGGTTCCCTAAGTTTGTTCCGGCGTATAGGTATCCACACTCTGACATCCGGCTTATTTGTACCGGTTGGTAGCATCTAGCTCAGAGTTCGTAGCTTAGCCTTTAATCGACAGATAAGTTAACATTCCTCCCCCAATATAACCTCTTTATCTCTGACCAATAAATAAACTGTTAGTCTGAGTACTTTTTACCGTGAAATGTGTTTTCCAATTTGCCTTTTGTTATCAGTACTTACACGTAGTTAAGATACTGATTAGTTAGATGTTGGCGTATATTATTTTATGTAAGGCTGATCAAGTGTCGGACAATAGGGACCAAACAAGACCCACCCATACAAGTCCACCAGTGTGTTCACAAGCATGAAACACTGGAATCCAGAGACGAAATTCTCATCGAAAAGCAAATCACTGGTGTAAATCGTATTTCATTGAGTGGTACATTTGTACAACGTTGACCTGGTAATACTTATTACTGATCACTGGTACATTTTAAAACTCATACTTTCTGTTGTTTATTTCCTGTTATATTCACAACAGGTTGTTGTAATGTCTTCAGTTGATGCAATTCATTAGAATCCCAGTGATGTTTCACTGAACTGTCAAGTCAAGTGGATAAATTCCTTCATCCGAGAGCGTTATGTTTGGAATCTGCTTGTCTCCAATCTAAAGTATTGTGAATTTGTGCAGTTACTTAGTTGGTACAGCGAGTCCAATGCTAAAGGCTTTTATCAAACTATACTAGGATACTGTAAGTTGTGATACTAAATGTCATTTACTGGAGTTTATTACGAAAGAATCTTGTTTTCTTTTTTTTCAGTGTGTCAAAGAAATTTAACTATTCTTCAGTAAATTCTAGAAGAAAGACGCTGTATTTTAATGTCTTTAAAGATATATGGTTTCAAGCGTGCCTTTTATGATAATGTGATAGAAAAAAGTTTATATATGCAGTATTAGTTGGTGGGAGGCAATTGACAGGGAGCCCCACTTCACATTAGTTTCATGGTTGTTGACACTCATCAGCTAAGCGTATCTTCAGCCTTTCTAGTGGCCAGTCAGTGTATGTAATCCAGTCTTAGAGAAGGTCAGCCACGGCGCGGATAGCCCAGTGGTAACTGCAATGCTGGGTCATTAGGGTTTGAATCTCAAAGGGGATATCGGTCCCCATGCTGTTGTGGATTCACCTTGCTGACGAATGCCACCAGGAATGAATCCTAGTCCGAGCATGGCTTCCTTCCAGTTGCGTTCAACTATCTAAAACCAGCTGACATGCACCATGATGCTCTACCTCTTGGTTTGGCGACTACACTACAAAATGATCGACATTATTCAGTCAGCACTTGGGACAACATTGGAATAATCAAACAGCTATCCCATAAGTTTTATTTGACTTCTATCTTTGTCACAGTAGGAAGCCTAAGAAGTCGCTACTCTCAGAAGTGAAATTAGAAATTCTTTCCGCTAATGGTTCACTATTGGAATGGTAGATGGTTTTTTGACGAAGAAAATATTCAGGACAAACTGAAAATAGGTTTTTTTTACTTTGTAACACTCCTCAGCTCAGCATTTTTAGGGCTCTGATGATTAAGTGCTTAGGGGCTAAAAGTATTACTGTTAGACTAACGTACTTCCAACCAACTTCCCGGAAAAATAAAGTTTGCCAACAGATTAATTGTCTCATAGAAAATAATTCGTTACTATGGTCCTCAGTTGCGACTCAAGCCAAATGATTTAACGGCTTATGCTTTAAAATATGAAATGAAAATCATCTGTGGGTGATGGGATAATTTGGAGTTCCAAAAACGTCAGTTCTACTTTCATCATCACCATGACAATGACCTATGGAAGAAATGAAACCATAGCTTTGCTACACAGCTGTCATAAACAGTTGCATTTTCTATAGGAACTTAAATGCAACAATGTCTAGTCTACACGGTGGCTAGCTGTGGAATCCGGTACTCATGGTTTGTCATATTTGAGACTTATCGGCTAGATGTACCTGCATCCCAATGAGTAGTGTTGCTCCCACTGAGACTCGAACTCAGCATACATCATGGCAAACGCGATGGCGTTCTCCACCAGGCCATCAGGATATGGGAGCCACCACTTGTCCAACGGGTATCAGTTGTGATTATTGATACTTGAAATTTCCTGTTGCTATATAGGGTCGAATTGCTCGACCTCCATTGGGAGATGGGCATCAATGTGGAGGCCCTGATACTGCTCGAATATTCATCATATAATAATAAGTGAACCCTTCCAAATCCATTTCATTTATTGTAACAGAAATGTATTGCATAAAAGACTCATTCCAGTTATAAATTAATTCAACTAATTTTTTCTGTATTTATTAGAAATAGTCAAACAAAAAAGAGTTTTAAAAAGCTATTCAATTACTAGCTACTACTACGTGAATATTAACATAAGCGTTCTGGACATCTCATTGGCCAGTCGATGAACCAGACAATCCCATCTTCGCCAATTCGATTCCAATCGAGTACCATGGACTGAAAAAAATAAAAAAGAAGAATAGATCAAATAAATGAATGATTATTTTAAAAGACACATAAAGTTAATATTCACTTTTTCTTAACTTAAAGAATCATTAACTCGCGCAAAGTAATACAAGTGACCCCCTGAAACATGCCGTCAAGCTTGGTATTACAGTTCTAACTTTCGTTGTAATGAGTGTACACTTGGAGTTTCTACTATTTTGACAGACAGGCAAACCAACATGTAACCCCACAGCCAAGTATATTGGACCAATTTTCCACACTTCATGGTAATATGCAAAGAACAAGCAGTTTGAAAGGCAACATTAAGGTAGACAAAGGACGATAGCAAGAAAGATTAGAGGTATAAAATATTCTAAATTTAAAAGAAATGACAAAGAGTGTATCTGTCTGTATCCCTGTGATCGATTTTCATCAAGAGACACCAGTCACTAGTTTTAATCCTTTCGACGACCTCATTCAGGTATTCTACGTCCCCTCCTATACGGAACAAATAAATGGTCAAAAAGCTCGGTGACTGTCGCTACGCTTCCTTGAAATTATTCCGACCCATTCCTATTTCCGTTAAGACTACACGTGCTGGAATTAATTCTTGATTGCAGTAAAACTAGGCACTCGAAAATGAGCGGTAATCCTTCACCAATCATCTTCAGCGGTGGCTTAAAGCAATGTGATCGGTCTGTGTCCATCGTTGCTTTGATGTTGATTGATGCCAAATGACATTGTGTTTTTCCTTATCCTTGAAGTTAGTGCCTGTCAGAAACAAGTGATTTTAGGAGCAAAATTACAACAAAGACTCACCATTGTTGGTTCGTTGGCAAATGACTCCACAGGTACCTCTAAAATGCCTTCCTCATTGGCCCAGCTCAGATTATCCAATTGAATGCTACAGTCACCTGTTTTTATAAATATATCAGAATGTTTTGGTTTGTGTAGAGAAATTGACATCTTTTGGTAAAATTCATCCTTTGCATCATCCAAACTGCAGTCAGAGGACGCGCAGGGGCAGCCTGCAAATAAGCATCGGCCGGTCTCACCACCTTTCCTAGTTTTTACAGAACCATTCAGGAGAACAGAACAATGATGGCTGACAACTAGTATCGAGTCAAGGAGTGGGATTTCTGCTCTACAGCTTAATACTATACTTATACCAGCGAACCCACAAGAGCTAGTCACTGTGTGAATTTTGAAGGTTCACTGTTATGGTCAGGCAAGGTCTAGTGAATACGTGTCTCAGAAACAGTATATATCCTTGACTCAAGATCTCAGAGTTTTGGAAAGTGAGATATATCGCCCAGTTTGGTACAAGGCTTAGACACTGAAAGTTCCAATTTGAAACTAGGGGCTCGGTTTTAGGAGAGTAGGAATGTTAATTTGCGGGCTTAGATCTTTGGCAATGGTATAGGAATGGGAAGTTGAGAAGGCTATTAAAAACTTAATGTTGGTGTCAAAAAGTGGCGACAAGGCAGGAGACATACTGCATACTGCTGAAAGCACGCCGGCAATTAGTACTTCCCGGCTGTCCTCACCCTAGAACCTGTTTCTACAAGTTGCTTAAATGAGAAAAAGGGTTGATTTCGCGTGATCGCAGAGCCGACGAAATATCTATTTAAAGCTACTTTTACACAGCCTTTAAGGATTTTCAGGGTTTAATATGGTTTGTCTTGAATTCAGCTAGAAAAGTAATACTGCCAAAGCCAGAAGACCGTTAAGAGGGGTGGAATGTTTTTTTTTGGAAGCCAGTATTTTCTGACCTTTAGCTTTCCATCAGGAAGGCAGCATCACCGTGGACTAATGGTCATCTGCAAGAAACATCTTATTGCTATCACATCTAGTCTGGCCAGTAGTACGACCTTTTTCTCAGTACCCCCTGTCTTGGTGTACCTATTACTACCATGAGGGTAACTGTTTTTTTGTCTTACCTGTGTCCAGTAGAAGTTTTTGGCATAGTTAGACCTACAAGCATAGCTTGTTTGGTCATTATGATAGGCAAGCCTAACCACTACATCATTTTATGTAGTCAAACCGCTCTCTACACGTTTCGTTATAATAATTAGAGATCTGTTATTCCGATTTAGTTTAAGATCGGAGTAAGGGAAGTAAAATTCTAGAATAACTGTTTCAATAATAAGAGTGGTTTTTATAACAGGTTAAACAATGATTCTAAGTTATTGGTAATCAGAGTAAGGAAAATTTAATTACGCTGTTACATTCGGTAGACACCTAACAAGCAAGAGATACAAAGCTGATACATTACAACATTTCATGGCAATAAGTAGACAAATAATACCATATATGTATACTCTTGTAGAAGTCATCATAACCAAACTCTTTCAATCTGATGCCAATACACTAAGATGTGATTAAAGTTTTAATAAGCTGGTTATAGAACACTGATTTTAATCATACAGTTAGTTTGATAAGGCACATTAAAATGAAGGTTTATTTTTGCTTTAAACCTTTTCTTTCAGCACATATACTTAGGGAATTGGGAAGTCGATTAACGATTACTGAATTCTAGTTTGTCAGTAGCCTCACGATTATCAGTTAGACTATCTCAGATATCCATACTTTGATGATTATTTTGTTATCGTTAAGACGTTTAGGCATTCAGTTGCCTTGATAAGTTTATATAGCATAATGAGAAGACGAAAACTACTTAGGCAATGCTGTGTATTAAAGCCAAATATTTCGAACAGTCTGATCGTACATTATATATTATTATTATTTTTCCGCTGCGTTCCTGGTGGACATTAGGGCTTCAGTAGCACGTCTTCATTCCACTCTCTTCTCTGCAGTCTTTTAAACCTAGCTCCATGACTCCCCACAAGCTTTCATTTCTTCATCGCACTATCTCCTCCATGTCACCCTCACTTCGGGAGCCCAACTCGTCGTTTCCCCTTTGGATTCCACTGGACGATCTGGCCTGGTGCCTGATGTCCCCAGTTGGCCTTCTCAGTGTATGCCTAATCCATCTCCACTTCTGCATATTTGTTGGGTGATAGGTTCTTGGTTAGTTCGTTCCCACAGTTCTTTGTTGTTTATTCTTTCTGGCCATCTGATCTTTAGTATCGAGTGAGCAGCTGTTGATGAATATCTGCAGTTTGTTGGAAATGCCTTTCGTGATACGCTGATCGTACATGGACTTGTCGAATTATTTATGAGCAAAATCAAAATAGGGGTTAATCAAACCAATAGGAAACAAAACAATAGGAGCGATAGAACACGATAAACAAAATATAAATCACATCACCCTTGGTATGCAAATTAAAATCAAGTTGACAGGTTTCCGGCCAATGCCATGTCAAATTGTGCTCATCACTTCACATGTACATATCAGAGAACGTTCATCAGAAGGACAAAGATGAGCGCTGAGACTAGATCTCGTGAGTTAAGCTTAAAGGAGCCAAAATGTCTTAGAATTTCCATTACTCATCGTTTGACTGGCACAGGACATGATGATGAGATCTCTGATGGATTTAAAATGATCAACAAACAAAACCATGCTAATCTACTAGAATTTGCAGAAGAGGTTTCTATCAGAAGAATTAAACCGAACTTGTGCACTTCAAAAAAGGCAGTTGTTAGCCTTCAACTCGCTTTGCCATTCAGTATAAGCCTTTCCAAAATTTCATATTTTCATCCTTTGTTACAACCAATTTCACAATCCATTCCTACAAGTTTACTACTTAACCCAGACCAACTTGACACTAACCGCATATTAACTCATCAAACGCACTTACGTAATCCTTTTTCTATTCTGTAATTGATTGGCCACATGTAGTGAAGATGACAATCTATCTATATAAACATTAGATAACTCTGATTTTTATCTTAACAAATTATTTCACGTGAACTTCCTTAATCTATGTCAACTCTTTCATTATCTCTCAACAATGCATCATCCTCCTCCTGACAAATGAAGTATGTTGATTACATTTCTGCCTCTGTATGTCCTATGGTTTTTAGCCTGTAAAAGGTTGAAATAACGGTAAGGAAATAAAATGAATTCATCATATTCTGCAAATTTCGTTATTTCAGCTTTGTTAACAGTTAATACTACCAAGATGAAATAAATAGCTTAGATTTTGATATAGTATATGTGTGGAGAATATCCAGGCAGGTGAATGTGAGGGTCAAGGAATGTCGAAAATATCTAAAACATATTCCAAAAACCTCAGTAGACATTCAAAATTGGAAAATCGATCACTGACTGTACTAAATTTGATAAAAATGGACCACAAGATTGTTTCCCATTGAAAAAAATCTACAATAAGGCGTTCTGTCATATGAAGAAAGACTGACTGCCGAGGTCCTACATATAAGGGCTAATCTCAACAGATTCAATAGACGAAAAGTGCAGCTGGCGGCTCCATGGCAAATAATGATTGATAAATTGACGTGAAGAAAGGCAAACAAGCAATATCGCAGTTAACGTAAATTATCAGTAATGTCCCATTTTATTCCATTCCTATTTGCGGTAGTTTGTCATCATCCAAATTATCATTATTACTATTGGTATTATTAGTACTGTTGTATCCAAACACATCTCTAAACACTATCCTTCATGACCGTGTAAAGTAGTCAACATCTGGATTCGTGAGCACTTAGTTATCGCTGGTCACGAGAGTCTTCCTTCAAAAATCCTGTATCAAGTTTAGGCGAATACTTCAAAGCCAGTGCGTATTCGCCACCTGGCCACTGAAGAAGCTCTGGGAACCCAGCACTATAAGCCTATTCTTTGTGTTCAAAAAAGATATTTTCAATCTCTAATTTTGCCTCGGTCATAATCTCTCGAAGATGGTTAATTTTTGTGTTGATTTACTACAATCCTTAAGGTAATTTTTAATGACCTTCATTTGACCTTCCAGCTGTTATTACCTCGTGACTTTATCCACCGTTTTTGATGACCTTGTACTGACCCATTCGCCGTTGATGGATATATATATATATATATATATATATATATATATATATTTATATTGTTGTAACTATGATCACGATGTACAGCTTTTTGGAAATGATTCGTTGAGAAGAAACTTTTCTTTGCTAAATTGTCATTCAATAATTTTCATTATCAAATGGGACTATTTTGATTATTAATAAATAAAAGGACTTTTCTAAAATGAAAGAGATTTATTTAGCACCTCGAATTATAAACAGAAATGAAAATCGAAGTTTATTCAAAGTCTTATGGATAGATGGCTAGAGAGTGCCAGTTTGTGAAGTTAAGCTGGAATTTCCACATGGAGTTAACAAATTTCTCAGTAGTAAATAAAATACTCCTGTTTGTGATAAATTTAGGTAGAATTCAAGCAAACATTTGATATTTCTCAACAAAGGTAAAAAATAAGATTGTTTCTTAGAGCTGTTATATCCTCAGGGATTTTTTTCGAGTCGACGCCACGTTGCATCAGAAAGATTCTATGGAACGGTACAATGTTACATCGAACACTTTTGTTTTGCCAACCATTCGGTCACTATGCACCGATGAGATAAAATACAACTCCATGCTAAGTCCATTTATCGTTTCCTGGTCACAATACTTAATAGTATGTCTGACATAACTGTTGGAACCAGTTTCCATACGTGAACTGGGAAACATACATGGTAAAGGCTGAACTCAGTTACTTGTCTTTCAGGATGAGCTAGTGGTGAAAATGTTGTACAAAATTATATCAAATCTCTTGCCATGAACAATTAAATATCAAAAACTACTTCCACAACAACACGTAACTGAAATTAAAAAGGCTGAACTAGACATACCCAATATGTTTCTTGAAGATCTTTATGACCAATGAAGGTGTTACCGTCAGGAGTACGTTTAATCAATAATTTCACTTTATTTCCTTGTGAATCTGAAGATAAAAGTGATTCAACTTCAAGAACACTTCCTCGTTCAATAAAACCATCATCACCACCAAAGAATTCATGTGGTATTGTGTGTAATTGTAAAAGCTAAAGAGAAGGAAAATCAGTCTCATAAAAATATTTCTGTGGATGAATATAGAAAACAGTCACGATAATAGTTTGAGACGAATAACATGAATTTATTGCCTAATTTGATTTTCATTTGTGATACATATTCTTGCATATTAAAATACGGAATGTATATGAAAATTTAAGGATGTGTTATATACTCCCTAATTTCGCCTAACGTTTGTCTGATATTTGCTTATAACCTTAAAATAACGTTATAACTATTGTTTTCACGCCCTCTTGGAGCCGTTGCTAGCTTTTGTTTTTCCTACTACTTCTGAAGGCTGGACTCTTATTGGTTGTTAACTGTTTTAGCTTATCAGTGAATTTAGTGTTTGTTAAGGTCGTTTAGAATGTTTATATTAGGTATCGCTCTTTACTGTTTTAACTATTGTTAAGATAGTAAGAGCTCTTTGCAACCGTTCACCTTCTCTTCCTGTCTTTGCATGTTGGCGGTATTGTTGTTGACGTTCTGACTGGCGCATAGAATACATTCCTTTGCGCGTTAGGTTCGTATCGCTCAAAGACTGCTTGGTCGCATTACCGGTCATAGACAATTTGTGATGGTTGTATTTTGAAATCAACCCACGCTTGGACAAAGAAGCGGAGTTGCTTGTTGGCTTATGGATGTCATCCCCAGCCGATTCATCTCCAGCCAGACAACACCAGAAGCAGCAAATCAGAATTTGTCTGTGACCCAGATGCAGACATAACGTTCAATACATAGTTTTGCAGACAAGGAAACCTGTTCAGAGAAGACTTAGCAAAGAGAGGCAGTGCTTGGAGAGTCAGACTGTTGCTTCGGAAGTTGGGAGTAGATGAACTGGATAAGTGTTGTAATTTTTTCCTACCGCAGAAACCTAGTGATAGAACATTCGATGAGACCATGCGGACACTTGGTCATAAGTTTGGTGACCACAGGTTGTTTAATATACGTTACCATTTCATGAAGCTGGTGCTGAACAAAAATAATGATATTCACAGGCGTTTGGGTAAAGTTAACCACATCTGTGAATACTTCAATTTGAAATCACTAACTGAAGACCAGTTTAAAGTCTTAAACTTCATTTACGAGCTACAGTCTCCCAAAGTTTTCTGATATGCGAGCACACCAGTTGAACAGATTAGAACAGGATCCACAAATGCTTGAAAGATATATGGAGAACATCAGTGACTGATCAGTTCGGGCATAGTCTTATAGCGTTCCTATTGGTAATCGATTCATATGCTTGTTGTTGTTGTTGGTGGTGGCGTTGGTTGCATATCTTCATCACCTCTGTCTTCTCTACGCTCAATGTCAATGTTTGACAGACAACAAAGAATGAAATAGCTAAACACCAACATAATTGTTCGATAGAGCAAAGCAAGTTCAGTTCAAATTAGGAATTATTCAGCCATTGTTTAAACCAGTGAATATTCTTAAAGGAAGGGTGGATGATACAGCTGTAACCTTGAATCTTGTGCATTCTTCATGAAGTTTTGATAACATGCTATACGCTAACAATTGCGATTATTAGGATGCCAGATAAATGAACTGATCAGTTAGAACTTTATTTGACTAATTACTGTCTCCTTCAGAAATTGATTTCCTTGTATAAGTATGGTGCTGATCATTATCCTACTGAATCACACCACATATAACATTTAACAATAGGTCTAAATAACCAATCGTATCTTCAATACAAATATCCACCAGAATGATGGAAACTTTCAGTGAGGAGCAAAAAGAGGGGGATATGCTGGACCGGAGAAAAGATCCTAGAACATTTGGATTTCGCTGGTGACTTGTGTCTAATCTCACATAAACTCGAAGATCTACAGGCAAAAACTAACAAGCTGACAGAAGAGACAGGGAAGCGAAGACGGGACTTCAAGTGAACGTAGAGAAGACAGAGGTGATGAAGATATCCAACCAACGCCACCACCAGCAACAACAAGCTGCAATCACCATCAACGGGAGAAACTTTAAGGAAGTAGCCTCTTTCACCTACCTAGGTAGCATTGTTTCAACTGCAGGCGGTACAGGCACAGATGAGGACGTCAAAGCAGCCAGGATCGGGAAGATAGCAAGACAGGCGTTCATCAACCTGAAACCAGTGTGGAGATCTTCTGCACTGCACTACACTCAGCATAAAGCGTGCGTGAACAAGATCCGTATTTTCAATACTAATGTCAGTCAAGTCACTGCTTTTATATGATGGTTGTGAGACGAACTACACACATTCATCAACAACTGCCTACGCTGGTTACTGAAACTCAGTTGGCCAGAAAGAATAAGCAACAAGGAACTCTGTGAAGGAACCAACCAAGAACCTATCGCTCAACAAATATGTAGAAGGGAATGGAGATGGATTGGACATGCACTGAGAAGACCATTCGAGGACATCACGCGCCAGTTCAGGCACTTGAGTGGAACCCAGATGGGTGACGGCGAGTTGGGCGTCCGAAGCGAGTTTGACATGGAGAAGATTGTGTGAGGAAGAAATGAGAGCCTGTGGGCAGTCGTGGAGCCAGGTTCAAAAGATTGCAGAGAACAGAGAGGAATGGAGACGTGCTACTGAAGCCCTATGTTCCACTAGGAACCCAAGAGACAAATAAATAATAAAAATAAACATTAACATTTTCTATTTAAACTCATCTCTTATGTGCCTTATATAATGGTGTCTAATGTATCGCGTGTTATTGTACATAACGATGAATTCATATCATCAAAGTGATCATACCTGTTAACTGGTTTATTTTCATGCAACTTGTTTTGCATGAAAGTATATTATTATTATTACTAGACTAATGCATACCTTATAAGGTCAATGTGATTACACTTTTTAGTGAGGAAAGGCTTAAAATAAGAATAAGGGTTGTATTTTCAAACGGTAATAAATTTTAATGAAATATCATGAAAATATTTCAACATTTCTCTTGCGTGTGAAAATCTCTCGATGAAATCTGTAAAAATATTTCTTCTCAGACACACATATGTACGATAAATTCTGAAGAAGTGAATTACAAGTCTTCGAAATCTTTTCAGCTCATCACGCTGAGTCAGAAATATTTTGCCTGAATACTAGGGACCAAATTGACAAAGGAACATTAAGAAGACATGATCTCAGTACTATATGGAATTCTCCTTAGTTATCAGTATCAACTGAACCCTTCGAAGAAACATATTTCTTATTAATGTATACTGTTGACTTTCCTAATTTTATATATTGGCACTTTATATTTCCATTTGTTGCTTTGGATGAAATTAATCAACCGCTGTTGACATGGGGGGCTTCAATGGAGATGCCTCGATATTAACTGTTAAGTAATTGTGTTATAATGTGCTAGGTAATGGCTAGCAATCGAATCCAAGACGCACATTTCTTCCCGTTTGGGATTTGTCAGTTGGATGCATATGCACCCCAGTGGGTATTGTTGTTCCCCTATGAAACTAGAAACAGCAGCCGTAGCTTCAAACGCTGAAGCGTTATCCACTTGGCAACTGGAGCACAAAAACATGCACGTCCTGGATTCCACTGCAAGCCACCGCCAAGCAGAAACTGACTTTTTGTTTCCAATATAAATACTATTTTACTGTTGGGCGACCTGACTGATATTCCTGCTCAATATCGCTTACTAGTAATTACAAAAATATCTACTGATCTTCCATTAACCTACACGCTAAGACATATTTGTATATTTCTACTAAAATCCATAGATTGGAGCTGTTACTCATTGGTTTAGACAGGTGACTTTCAACCAGTGGATTTCGGGTTCGAACATCGTTCAACTTACTGATGTCTAGGCAGCCAGATAATACCACTAGCCTTCAATACGTGTGTCTCGTTGCCTACTGCATGAGTGTTTACAAGATTGATGAGCGTGTTTCATCTTTCATTTCAAAATCCATAGAATTCTATAATTTAGGTAAAGGCAGAACTACAAATGCAATCGAATTCACAGCAACTTCAAGTCTTAGTTGAACTTAGTGAACGAAAACCGTATTTGTCAACTCTGAGAAAAAAAAAGAGCTATAACAGACAAAGAAGAGTATTCACTTAATGCTGATTATTTGTGTTCATTCACAGCTGAAAATTGTTTTGCTAACCTAAATCATATGATAAGTTTGATTTCGTTTAAATGGCGCCCAATATTATTTATATTTCCAGTGTAGAAAGTTAACTGTCATTGGGTGAGAAAGTTAGAAATAAGTCCACTATATTATGTTGCATGATGCGTATTAATGTAATTCACATGTGATGAACAATACTCATCTCAGCGTAGAATTTGATGTTTTAGAATTTGTAGAGATGAATTACTTTCAAGGCAGTTTTCGTCGTTAAAGAACCATTAAATACCAGGTATTCGCCAGGTGTGAACAGTCTGGGCTAAAAATGAATAAAGCGCAGGATCATCAGATCTTGTGGCTAGCAAGTTACCAGTCAGTCACCAGATTTGAATTCGACGGTTCATTAGATTCTACTTCTATGAACTCACGATATCGTGCCTCTCAATGTTATCAATGTCAATCTGTCCTCACTCCCAACTTGACTGAATCTAGGGTTCATGACCTCTCACTAAAATTTTGAGGTCACTAATGAGTGCTATAACGTATTTCGATTGGTGGTTTGGTGATCAGGAAAGTGGATGCGCACTGCTGAAGAGTCTAGAACTAGGACGAAACACGTTTCCGAGGTAAACTCTATCAAATCAGTTAGTTAAAAGAAAAATCACTGTGGCGTAATGTGATTATATACACTTTAAATTCAAGGTTGGCTATGTGCTTACCTTATAAGTTTGTTCTTCTGTATAACCATTTTCTAAATCTCTTGTCTTCCAGCCTAAATCAATTGGTGCAAGAAATAGAACATTCGGTGCATGCTGGGTAAATTCCTTACGAAAATTGGTTGCGCTTAATTTTGCAGAGATTTCTCTAAGAAGAGAACAAAAAAGAATACAATATATTTCACATAATTTGCACATTGCTGATGAGTTTTTATCTACATGTGACGGGTTCCAGTCGCTCTGGGAAAGAGATTAGCGTAGATGATTGCTTCAGAATGGAATGAAACATGTGTCTTGCATTTCTGTGCTAGCTACGACTAAGCAACTAATAATATAGCTAATGAGTTACAATTTTCGATTCTCATGATTATTAACTTTTGATTTGTATATAAGTGAAAAGACAATATTCAATGAGGAGAACTCATTTTTGTGACCCCCAAATGAAAGCTGTGCAGTTTATTAGTATTTGGAAAGGATTTCTGCAAGATAGGTATGGGGATAGATTAGGTGGTATGGTGTTGGGATAAGTGAATCAGTTAAGCAAGTTGAGAGTGCCACTACGGTAATGAATCATCGAAAACAAACATGAATTATATGGAAAATTAATTAGACAACAATGTTGAAAAATTAAAAACTTAGATTATGAATGCTGAAAGGATCAGGTGAGGTATTTTCTGCGCATAAAAATAAGGATTTTAGTTGTACATATGCAAAGGCTTCTAATACACTGAGAAGACAGACTTCTTTTCCGTGCCCTCCATAACTTAAATCCTCATTCATTCTGTTTCTATGACATGGGTTTTAAGCGTTTCTAACTTAATGGATAGTTAATTTCCAATATATACTCTCTTCACTTCCCGTTACACTCATACTTTACCAGTGTAAACAAATTTTCTCTTGCTTTTTATGATAGAAAGTATCAACTAGTTGTATTCGTAATTTAGTGTTTACGTACTTTAGGTTTGTATTTATCATGCAGTGGCATCAGTTGGAGAATCAGTGGAAGCCTGGGATCACTGGACAGCTGTTTCGTTCTAGTATGGGACTCCTAAGCAGTACGCATCCACTTCACTTCTGGCTGGTTGACCTGATTGGTCACGGGGTCATGGGTGCCTACTGTCCAGGGCTCCAAGGTTTTCAATGGTTTCCCGAATGATGTTAGTCCGTGATGAATATAACCTTAAAAATAAAAGTCCTATAAACCTCAGGCTATTTACATATTGCTTGTATTATGTGAGACCAGTTTGTTTGGCTCAGTAGTATACTCTATTGTTTTATACTCTGATTTTAATTTTAAAAAAGTGCTTTGCTACCAACCAGTTGAGCTTTGCTTGAATTTGCCGTGTTATTTCGAGTTGTATTGACTTAACAGTGTCTTCTAAAAAGAATTTATATTCAAGGGGTATTATTCACGAAATTCTTGTGTAAAAAATAAAGTGCTTTGAGTTATTTGTACGTTAGATAACTTTAACTACTCTGTATTTTTGATTGTCACTGAAGCGACCAGTTTGTTAACACAGTACTTATGTGACACCATCTGAGAGTCACCAGTTTTTGGAAGTTGGTGATTTAGAAATCATTAAATAATCTAACTTAGGTAGTGTAACACCACTGGTGTGATACGACTTTGCTAAGTACCTAGACGGCAAATCTGATTGGTGCGTATTAGTCAGTACCTAAGAGTAAACAGATTAGTTACGATTCAGCTGACATTCGTACACTTAATGTAGTCCTGCAAGTAGCCATTAGTGACGTAACAACAATATACAAATTTACATGATAACTTCACCCGTAACAGCTATGAATTAGAAGTATCAAGAAACAATAATAACTGATACCCGCTGCACAAAAGGAGGCTATGATTCCCTTACTGGCCTAGTGGATAACGCTTTAGTGTTTGAAGCAATGCGTGTTGAGTTTGAGTCTCAGTGGAGTGCAAATACATCCAGCCGACGAAAAGTGTGCCCTGGATTACACTCATGATAGCCACTAAACAGTCGATTATAACAACATGAGCGGAAAGTTTGAATATGAGCGTTACGGATGAGATCAAAATTTACGTTCAAAGTTTCATACTGGTTGACTTTCAAACATTTAGCATCTTTAGGATTGCTTCCTTTTGAAATAAAAACATCCGCTTGGTATTTCACCTGTTTTTAACTTTGTATGGACTAGTAAGTAGTCAGCTATAAACGCATACCGAACGTCAACACTAAATGATATGCAGATATTCCAATTGTTGGTCAAATATCAAGTCGATGAATATACAACATATTCTCGTTAAATGAAAGCAAAATTATATACATTACCACTAAGTGCTGAATGATTTACTTACTTTGCTTTTGGGTTTTGTTTAATCACACTCAAAATATCTCCTTGTGGCGGTAAATTGACTGTTTAACTACATATATAATACCATCACGGAATTTCATTCCATGTATTTCTGTTACTTCAGCATGATTAAAGGCTAACTGCAGTATATGGGATGAAAAAAGAAAGAAAAAAGTTCTTAAAGAAAATGTTTATTTCTGAAAAAGGGTCAGTAATACCACTTTAATCTATATAGTTTTGTTTTAATTAGAACAAAGATTTCAAGTTGATATTCATCATGGAGTAAAAGCCATTGAACCATTCGAAATTTAAGAGTACTTGACATCTGTTTTGACCATCAGGCTCGACTACCAGTACGTTCTCATCGAGCCACTTGGTCAGAATTCAACGGTTCACATTTTCCTACTTCTGCCATTTAGCGTTATAGCGCGATCTCAATGATAAAATGCTGAAGCTCAGAGAACACCATCTTCCTCCCAAATTATTAACCTTTTCCATCACTTAAGTAGACTGTTTCAATGCTTCATTTAAGTATCTGAATGGATAATCCCTCTGAAGTATAGGATCACTAGAGGAGAGAATCGAAGAAAGTTCAATGTCAATTGTACGTTCAGTGCAGAGTACATACCATAGTCTTGTATATAAGCCCAAATTCATCTTACCGCTTTTTCTCGTTCAAAAGTCAATATGCAAAAGATACCAAAGTGTGAAAACTTTCAATTAATAATTCAGGATACGTCAGTCAACCTTCAGATTACTTAAAATGAAACCCTCTTTACATGGTAAACTATAAGTGCAAAACCATAATAGTTCATTAAAATGTTTACAATAGTGTTACAATATTACTTGAACATACCGTTGTTCCATGTCTTGTCTTTATATATCTGCTAAACACTGAATGTTTTGAACTATCTGATGCAGTATACTGTGTAGTGAATTCCTGTTCTTGATTAAAGCCAGTTTTACGAACGTCTACGTTCCGAGCATCACTAGGCTTCAGTAGGTGGTGTGCAAACACTTTACACTTTTCTGACTGAATCTGTCTAGAATTCTCTTTGTAGAATTTAGCTAGTTAGGGAAAAAAAACATAAATGAGTACGATTTAATCATACAACATATATACATGTGATTTCCTTGGTGGTGGCTAGTAGTAGGATCCAGATAGCAAGTTACGTCCTATTTAAGACTCGTCAGCCGGATGTAACTGTATCCCAGTGGGTGACAATGTCCCCACTCAGACTTGAACCCAGTACCCATCGCTTCAAAAACTAGAGCGTTATCTATTGGGCTACTCATTCATGAAAGTCACCTGGTGTACAAAGGGTATCAGCCTTTGTTTATCTTCAGTAGAGGTCAGTCAATTGTGTTCAGTAAACAACGGGGAATTGTATCAATATAGTATAGTATAGTATAGTATAGTAGTATCAATACAGTATATATATATATATATATATATATATATATATATATATATTTCAGGTTGGTATTCATCATGGACTGATATCAGTTGGAGAAAAATTGGAAACCTGGGAGCACTGGACACCTCTTTCATCCTAGTTGGGAGGAGGATGGAGGTCGGATTATACCGTGAACTGACAGAAGAAGGAAATATAGACCATTGGATTCCGACCCAGTGACTTAATGGTAACGTGCTAGCCTCAGGACCTGAAGGTGCTTGGTTTAGTCCCTGGTGGGGTCATGAGTGTGCACTGCTGAGAAGCTCCATACTGAGACGAAGCAGCTGTCCACTTCTTCCAGGTTTCCAATGGTTCCCCAACTGATTTGAATTCACGATGAATACCAACTTTAAATCAACAAATAAATCCCCACGAACCTCTAAGTTGAACATATATATATTGCATTACTCTCAGTGGGGTATATTTACAACTTTAGAACAAGATTTTATGGTTGATAGTGAATTATCGCTAAACATAATTCAGTCCTAAATGGCTTTGTCGTGACTAAAATACATAGGCAAAAAAGCCTGTGATTTCACATGTCAGGAACACACGTTCACGTATTAAGAGGAGGAGAAACAGTTTTCTTAAGGTTATATTACTAATGTGTACCGAAAGTCCCGAAATTCAGATTCATTTGTATCTAATAACTGACCCAAAATATCGTATAGAAGTGAAACTGTGGTTTTGAATTAAGGTAGCCTGTTGTATAGGGTCAGCAGAGGTCAGTTATTATTTCTACCCCTCACTTAGTTGTGGCTTTACTTCTGGGGAGTCTGTTTCAAACTGGGAAAATGCGGCTATCCTGTGCTCTTACATCTTCAGTAATTCTTCTACTGACTTCAGTTCATGATGAAAGTCACCTTGAAGTCTCTTTTAAGATAAGTGACATGACACTACTGAAGTCTAAATTCGACTATAAAACAGGTCAACGGTAGATTAGATGAATAATGAAGTGGCTGTTCTCGCTCGTTGTAGATCTTTGAAAGGAACTTAGATTGTGATAAATGTTTCCAAATTATGATAATTGTCACAGTGATTGTGTGACTGAAATGCTGAAGCAGCAAGACTTTAGAGACACCGAAAAGTAATACTGTATAGTGAATAGACTTCTCCAAGGTGACATATTAATGTTATAACAGCTGAAAAGTGGAAAATGTAAATTTCAGGTAAGTGTCGGTAGTCGAATCGTCTTATTTATTTTAAAATTTAGTCAACGTATGACTCAATTGATAACACTAATGTATAGCTCGGTTCAAAAGTTTTCGATTAATCCTATTTATGTTTAACTTATTTTTCGGAAATTAGGTGTTGAGTGAGGTCCACGATTCTGCATTATCTCATTTCTGGTGCATGAAATTGGTTGTTTCATCTTCATAAAATATGGTGCATTGTGGTCAGATGATTTGGTCGCATGTAATACAGTCAATCAGATCACCTCAAATATGGGGACAAGAAGCACCAGACTTTGGGAGGGCCTAATTGCATAATTGTGTGATCGTGTGGATGGATTGAGTATATGAAACTAATCACGTACAACTGGACATCTAAATTTTATAAATTTCAGCTCACTACAGAACGAGTCAAACATTTCACTAATGAACTATCCACGTCATTGGATAATCTCGTATAATCTGAAGTGTAGAAATTTGACAGTTAATTTAACCAACTATAATTTGTTTATCTCCGTTTCAGGGAGTTAAGAAATTGATGTTATTGGTCAAGATAAGTCAGTTGACTGTAAAATCTCATTATCACGGCCGGTTTGCAACTTTTAGAAAACTCATGCTTCATGAGGTTGTAAACCAACATTATTGATGAGTGTCAGAGCTTTTTGCCGACTGACTCATAATATGTGTGAAGTCTAGCAAAGTGTACCGCAATGTCGTATGGCGTTATTGTACACTTCAGTTAGCGCAAACGAGATCAGCACCTAAGATTAACCAGTATGACAATGTTCCCTCACTGACGACCGATTAATTTACAGTTATTGAGTCTTTAAAAGTTGTATCAACCAATGGAATTAGGGCTTCAATTCAAGTAATGAAAATTTCCTGAGAGAACGTTATATTAGTGACCTTAAAGCTCAATAGATACAATAAGGTATTATGAATTGCTTGAAGATACTCTTAATGCTAACATCGCATCAAATAGCTGTTTTGAAGATAGGTAGTAGAAAAATAACTGCTACCTTATTATTGTGCAACCACATCGACATACAGAAATGAACCCTGTAATTTCATTTATCACTGGCATCATCTTATAATCCTGCTAGGACCGAAGTAGGGTGGTTGTATGAAGCTAGAATCCGGTTACCAGCATCCCCGATATTAGTCTGAAGTCTACAGAGATTTATTTTTTTCAAGATGGCATTCATTATGGAATGACGTCAGTTGAAGAAACGTTAGAAACTTAGGAGAACTGGACAGCTGTTTCGTCTTAGTACTAAATTCTTTAGTGGTACATACGGAGGTCTGAATGTCCTGAGTTTGTTTCTTGACGAAGTCGTGAGTGTTTACTGCTGAGCAGTCGAATACTAGGAAGAAACGGCTATCCAGTGCTTCCATATTTTCAAAGGTTCTCCAAATGATGTCAGTTTTTGATGAATGCTATCCAAGTAATTCTTGTGATGTTTTCTAATCATTCCTACTAACTATGATCACTGGGACAGATAGAATTGTCTTTGTGCAGGAAGATAATGATTGAATTTAGAAGAATACTTGATTCTTGAAAAGTTTTGAAATGAAATCTTCCGAAGAGATTCTTTAGTACTCTTCCAATTATGTCAAAAAACCAATCTAGTTATTAAGTGTCACTCTGACTGGATAAAAATAATCAGTAGTAGAAAAAGTTAACCGTACTGACGGCTTTAGCATAATATCAGAATATCGATCTGTCAGCGTGAAGTATTCACACAAATGTGGCTATTTCTCATTAGCATTGGTCGACTAATATTTATCTTATCAGAATTTTGTGGAACTTGTCATTTTCCCCTTAATTTTCCATCAGCTCTTATTATGCCTTATAGATTGACTCTATTTACACTTAATAGATGAGAAGAATTTCGTAGTAATGATAGGTTCATTGGTATAAGCAGATAACTCTCAATCAATGAGTCACATATTCGAATTCTGGTTGACCTACAGAGGACCATTCAGACAGGTAGTACCTTCAGCTTTAACACATAAGGTGGGGCTCATTACCCATGAATTCAGTTGTTGAGAGCGTTTTTTAAAAGTTATTTTTGGTACCATTTTGAATATTTGTTGAAGAATATAAAAATGAGAGTGGATTGAAAGACACTGGCTTCATGTTACACAGTTAAATTCTTTGCGTTACATTTACTTACATTGAAATGCTCCATCATTCGGTAGAAGTACAACATTATCGCTTCCTTGACCAATATTCATTTGACATTTTAACATTTCACTAGCAGACTGTCTGACATTTAGTGAAGGATTGTTTTTCAAGCATTCAAGAGCTTCGTTTAAGTTCATTGCTAGGTGAAATGAATAGATAAAAACATATAAATGATTTCAGTATACAAAAGTGGAAACTAAAAAAGGAACAACTTTATTGGACTGTTTGGCATTTCAGTGTGCTAAAAAGTATGTAATTTTACTAATATCTGCACTAAACAATAATAGAAAATCAGCATTTCAAGTCATCAGCCATTAAGATAGAAATTTTAGATTTCAACTTCTGTTTCATGTTACTGTGTGGTCAGGAAAAACCTTATTGGACAATTTTGTCCTACAGCTGACCAATCAAAATAAATATCCAACTTTTGACCTAGTGCGTTCATATGCTCTTGAAAATTGCATATAAATGATGTATTTTTGTCGAATGAAGAGCCCTCCCTACAGTTACATTGTCGGCCTTTGTCTTCTGATTTTGTTCACTCACTGAAGTACAAGTTTCTAACGGAAAAGACTCGCTACTTGTATTCAGTCGAAGTGTCTCATTGCCTTAGTATCGTTCCCGCATTTCTTATTATTTCCCTTGATCCCTCCCTTCAATCAATATCTCTAAAGATGACCAACATATATGAAAAGTATCGATGACCATACGGTCAATATGAAGGCTAATTATACTGAAGCCTTACTGTTGTATCAAGTAGATGTATGTGTTTTACGACTAAATGAGCTGGAAATATTCATGATTCACTCAGGAGACTTGACTCAAGAGATAAAAGAAACTCACAAGAGAACGTGAATCACACAATCAAAATATCGAATGCAAGTTTGCATACTGGATGCATGTGAAGAATATTAGGATGTAAGGATTAAAACAGTACATGAGAAGAGGTATTCTATCGCGCTTAGCATAGGCACAATTTAGAGATAACATTTTTAGCCTGTCTTCTGAAGAAAAAAGATTTTCCCGCATATCCATCGAAAGATGTTTATGCAGTTCATTGTTAACCGCTCAATTATTTTCAAAAAACTAGTGAATAGATTGTTCTACTTTTTGCGTCCAGGACTTCTAGTAGAAGTTCAGTAGAACTTTTAAAATTTTTATCCGTTGCTGTTATGCACAAAGTGAAGTAATCTACTCGCTTAAGACCAAAGAGATTTCCAAGATTCCACTACAGGTCACTGATTGTTACATTCAAAATTAGGGCCATTACTCAAGAAGCTTATATTTCAATAACGGTAAGTCGATTTTTTACCAGCTGAGCAATAGCAGTAAACTTCAGGCTCAACTATCAGTATATATGATATTGAATAAAAGACGTAGCAGTAAGTTAGTTACCAATTTACAAGCTGACGAATACCATTCATAAATGAAGAGTTTTAAGTAGGCTGGCTTTCTTGAGTGTCGAAAACACTTTTTTTTGGGAAACAACACAAAGTTTGTAATTTCTGACTAAGAAAGTGCAGTCAGTTAACCAGGTACATAGGTGAATAATTGGAGTAGTTTGTAACTGTTTGGCTTATTCAAATGGCCACAATAATCCACGTTCATGAGGCGAATTCACTTGGTTGTTTTACTATCCAAGTGAAACAACAGTCCGATATGTAGATCAAACTGCTCTCGTCACAGAAATTCACGAATCACTCTGAACAACTAATGGCTAGTCGTGCTGTTCAGTAACATATGATGCAATACTAAAGTTGTAGTACGATTTCAACATCGTTTACAACCGATGACAGGAAAATAAACAATGTGTACACCTCTTTCATATTCCTACTGAAGAATACGAGCGGCCTTAAACTAAGAAACGGCTTTATCATGTCAGTTTAGGTAAGCATGAATTTCAGTGCTATAGTGTATAAGTCTCAAACAAGGTGAAAACGTGTCGACGATAATTGCTCAGCTTATTTGTTGTTAAAAATATACGAGAAAGACATGAGAAACCAGTCATCAGCTTAACTTATAAAAAGATTTTGTTCATGAATCAGGAATTTAAAAGTGATGCAGCATCAGACATCCTGAAAAATCGCCTTTTGATATCAATTAGTAGGACTTTTTTAGCAGCTAAATTTCATTTGACACTCACTAGTCATACATTGTTCTCCATATGTGTAAAAGACAGCATCTACCAGTTCATCTGCTCCTGTAGAGCAAGATACATCTATTTTAGCCAGAGTCTGCTGTCAACACGTATATGAGAAAATATTCCGGCTTAAGTTCATAAGGGTGAAAAGAAAAGTATTAGAAGTTCTACCTTTGAACATTTAATCGATTACAACCATTCAACCGAACAGAATAATGATTTTAAGGTTGTCTAACAAATTCGCTCGAACAGTCCACGTTTTATCTGCTTTTAACTTGCAAAACAACACAGACTTTGGCTATTTATGAACTGAAGCCAGACCGCGTGTGCCAAAGAAGTACCTCAGGTCTCTTTTGTGACGTAAACCTAATTTGGTCCTGATTACGTTTCTTTCCTTTTCGTTTCTTTAACTTCTTCCTTCTAAGAAGAAAGTTTGTGCTTTCTTAAGCTGACAACATCAGTACTATTTCCACGCATAGTAAATCCCAGTGCTATATAATTTATTCTTCTCAATAATTGCAATTATTATATTTAAATCATGAGATCCCAGTGAAAATTTCGGCTTCAGTAGTACGTCTCCATTGCACTCTCTTCTCTGCAGTCTTCTTAACCTGGCTCCACAACTGCCCATAATCTTTCATTTCTTCCTCACACCATCTCCTCCCTGTCACCCTCAGACGCCCTACTCGTCGTTTCCCATTTGGATTCCACTCGAGACCATGGCCTGGCGCGTGATGTCTCCGAATGGCTATCTCAGTGTATGCCAAATCCATCTCCACTTCCTTCTGCATATTTGTTGGGAGACGGGTTCTTGGTTGGTTAGTTGCCAGCCAGAGTTCCTTTTTGTTTATTCTTATTATTCTAGCCATCCGATCTTCAGTATCGAGTGAGCGTAGATGGCAGCTGTTGATGAATATCTATAGTTTGTTGGAAATGCTTTTCGTAACGCGCCAAGTCTCTGAACCATTACACAGAAGCAGTGACTTGACTGAATCAGTGTTGAAAATCCGGATCCTTTTCTTTGTACTGAGTGGAATGCAGTAGATCTACACACTGACTTCAGGTTAATCAAGGCCTGTCTTGCTAACTTTCCGATCCTGGCTGCTTTGACGTCCTCATCTGTGCCTGTACCGCCTGTAGTTGAAACGATGCTACCTAGGTAGGTGAAAGAGACAATTTCCTTTAAATTTCTCCTGTTGATGGTGATTGGTGCTTCTTGTTGTTGTTGTTGTTGGTTGGGTATCTTCATTACCTCTGTCTTCTCTATATTCACTTAAGGTCCCGTTTTCGCTGCTTCGCCTCTTCCACCAACTTGATGGTTTTCGCCTGTAGATCTTCTAGTTTGTGCAACATTAGACATTAGACATAAATCATCATCGCTGGCCAAATCCAAATCTTCCAGGCTCTTTTCATCGGTCCAGCCAGCGTATGCCACTCTTCTCACTCCTCACGGTTTGCTACATGATCCAGTCCAGACCAGTGGAGTCGATCACAATCAGGAGGATGATCGATGAAAGTAGGTGGCAGCCTTGTCTTTCTCCTTCCTGTCTTTACTTCAAAGGCATCACTGAGCTTCCCACTGTGAATCACTCGATATATTGCGTCTTCATATAACTGCTGAATAAGATTTATAAATGTTTGTGGTATTCCATAGTGTTGAGGCAGCTACTAAATTATTTTGTGGGTCAACGCTGTCAAAGGACTTTTTAGAGTCGATGAAGTTGACGTAGAGAGTTAACTGCCCTTCTATGCTCTGTTCTATGATGACGCATAGCGTAGCGTTGCTGTTTGATCGGCACATGATTTATTCTTCATGTAACCAGCCATCCTGTTCCGGTCTTAATTTTGAATCCAGCGCATCGTTTAGCCTCCCCAGAATGATGCGGCATAATATTTTGCTAGGAGTGGACAGGAGCATAATTCCGCACCAGTTCTTGCAAATACTTAGTTGTCCCTTCTTTGGGAGTTTGACAAGGTAGTCCTTCTTCCAATCAATGGGCAGGTACCTTTCCTTCCTTCCAAACCTTTTCAGTAGTGGTGTGGGCATGTCCGCTTTTGTCTCTGCGTCTGTTCTCAGTGCTTCTGGTGGAATTCCATCTAGTCAAGCTGCTTTCCGGATTTGAACAACTTTATGGCGTTCCAGACTTCGGCTTTTTTCGGAGGGCTTGTGTTAACTGGTAATTCTACCGTTGCTGATGATATTCATGGCCGAATCGCAGGTGGTGGTCGATTTAAGAGTGTTTTGAATTGTTTAACTACATTCATTTTTCTTATTGATCAAAAGACTGATTTTACCTTGGTTGCGTTGTTTTCTGAGCCGAGTGATTTCATCGTGAAGCAGTATCATTAGCAATAACTTCAACAAGAGTTTATGTCACGATTTATACTGACTGAATTCAGAACTTGTAGGCTACTCACGCTAATTGACAGCACTTGTTGAACAGACCGAGATGGTCTAAACTTCGAATGGTAGTTTAGCTCATGTGGGGCCCCATTTGTCACTAGTGATTCACTTCGCTCAAAACATCCTTCAGACACCTGTTTTGATTCATACCACCACCAGTTCGTTCAGTTAGCCAATCAGCATGTGCGTGGTTGGAAAAATCTGATTACTTAGGTTGAGTCAATTTACATGCATCGTTAATGAACTCTGCTACGAAATCTTGAAGTGGCTTGGTAGTGTTTGGCTAACGAGCACTTCTAATAGGTGTGAGCGACGCTTTTCTCAGTCAGATAGCTAGTTATGCTAATGTCGATTCTAGATAGACAGAGTGGAAAATCGACGTAGAACCTCACACACAAGTGTTTTACTTCAAGTTGCTGCACTTCAAAGTAATATGCAAAGAATAAGTGGACGGAAAAAGAGTAATATCAAAGTAGAGAAAGATGTGTCCGAGAATACAGGACTCGAAGACAAAAGTTTGTCCAAATATTAAAGCTTTAAAAGACATTGAAGAATGAGTACATCTAAGCCACTTTGATCAACTTTCTACCATGTCATCAAGAGTCCTGTACCACTGGCTCTTATCGTCTCAAAAACCCCAGCCAGATAGTCTACACCTCCATACACGGATCAGACCAACAGTCAGAGACTTTATGCATTGGTGACAAGGATTCTAGTTGGAAGTAGGCCACTAACCTCATGTTCACCAGGTTTAACCCACTGGTCACAACTTCTCATCGGAACTTCAGGAATTACCTCTCAAAGCTGATCACCAATGAGAACTAGATCAATTAAATTTTGGGTTTGTGGGGATTTAGTGATTTCAAGTTAGTATGCATCATGAATTGACATCAATTGAAGGAACGTTGGAAACCTGGGGGTAGTGGACAGATGTTTCATCCTAGTATGGGACTTCGCTAACCCTCAAACTGAATTGATGTACTGCTCATTGGAAACTAGCTTCGAGAGGTGATTCCTCAGGTACCAATGAGAAGTCGTGACCAGTGGAGCAAACCTGGTGGACGTGAGGACAGACACTCAAGGATGGGGTTGGTTGACGGTCGCGTTATGCTATGAACCGACAATAGTTGGAAATATGAAGCATTGGGTTCCGACTCGAAGGCTCAGTGGTTGTCCAAAGAACCTGAAGGTAGCGGGTTCGATCCCTGGTAGGGTGGGGAATAGGTGCTCATGGCTGGGGAATCCCATATTGGGACAGAACAGCTGTCCAGTGCTCCCAGATTTTCAATATTCCTCCAAATGATGTCAGTCCATGATAAATACTCAGTTGAAAGACCACTATATCCCCGCAAACCTCCAAATTCAAAGGGGATTGAAATAATACTAATAATGCTGTTATTTGATGACGTTACGACTAAACAATGAAAAAAAGGTGTTGCTTTAGTTTTCTGAACCATTTTTACGATGCACATACGGCGCAAAACAGTGAAAACATGGTAGAGGTAATAAACAAGGGACTAGCTAATGTGAATGAGATGGTAGTCAACTCTCTACGTAAACTTCATCGGCTTTGAAAAGGCCTTCGATACCTTCGGCCGAGAAGTAATTTGTCAGGCAGCTGCGCAACACTACGGTTTTAGCGCAACAAACGTTAAAAAACCTCATTCAACATCAGCTATATGCTGTATGATGATGATGCTACATGTCGAGTGATTCACAGTGGGAAGCTCAGTGATGCCTTTGAAGTAAAGACAGGAAGGAGAAAGACAAGGCTGCCACCTACTTTCATCGATCATCCTCCTGATTGTGATCGACTCCACTGGTCTGGACTGGATCATGTAGCAAACCGTGAGGAGTGAGAAGAGTGGCATACGCTGGCTGGACCGATGAAAAGAGCCTGGAAGATTTGGATTTGGCCAGCGATGATGATTTATGTCTAATGTCTAATGTTGCACAAACTAGAAGATCTACAGGCGAAAACCATCAAGTTGGTGGAAGAGGCGAAGCAGCGAAAACGGGACCTTAAGTGAATATAGAGAAGACAGAGGTAATGAAGATACCCAACCAACAACAACAACAACAAGAAGCACCAATCACCATCAACAGGAGAAATTTAAAGGAAATTGTCTCTTTCACCTACCTAGGTAGCATCGTTTCAACTACAGGCGGTACAGGCACAGATGAGGACGTCAAAGCAGCCAGGATCGGAAAGTTAGCAAGACAGGCCTTGATTAACCTGAAGTCAGTGTGTAGATCTACTGCATTCCACTCAGTACAAAGAAAAGGATCCGGATTTTCAACACTGATTCAGTCAAGTCACTGCTTCTGTGTAATGGTTCAGAGACTTGGCGCGTTACGAAAAGCATTTCCAACAAACTATAGATATTCATCAACAGCTGCCATCTACGCTCACTCGATACTGAAGATCGGATGGCTAGAATAATAAGAATAAACAAAAAGGAACTCTGGCTGGCAACTAACCAACCAAGAACCCGTCTCCCAACAAATATGCAGAAGGAAGTGGAGATGGATTTGGCATACACTGAGATAGCCATTCGGAGACATCACGCGCCAGGCCATGGTCTCGAGTGGAATCCAAATGGGAAACGATGAGTAGGGCGTCTGAGGGTGACAGGGAGGAGATGGTGTGAGGAAGAAATGAAAGATTATGGGCAGTTGTGGAGCCAGGTTAAGAAGACTGCAGAGAAGAGAGTGCAATGGAGACGTACTACTGAAGCCGAATGTTCCACTAGGAACCCATGTGACGAATAGTAATAATAATAGGTTACTTGTAATTATAAAATTTTAAATATGTAAACCAATACTTTTTATGTATTTGTTGACATTCTAAACGTTTGCGTCTGAGGTCTGGTCATCTTTTTATGCCTTTTCTGTAGATATTTAAGATAAATTTTAGGTTCACTTATTGTTGTAGATTTCAACGCTTATATGTCGACATTTCAACCAGGTGTGATGAGGGGATTCAAATACTTTCGGAGAAGTTTTCTGAAACATGATGTAGAACATCATACTTACATTCTAAACTGCTTATTGGGCTTTGAATGACATGTATCACACCAATACCGGACATTAAATCATTACGTTGAATAGGTATTTGTTTGTTGCACACATCAGTGATAACTAAATTTCCATCTGACTTTCGTTGAATACTGATATGTGTTTCGCTTAGAGTTGGACCAACACGTTTGCTGTTCTGTACAATAGCATCTGAACAAATCATTTTCTCCATTACATGTTCACGTACTAAAGCTTCCTTAGCCTGAAAAATAATGAACAATAAGGTTATTGACAGTGTTTAAAAGTGAAACTTTTAGAATATTCTTGTAATGAAAACTAGTTCAGATTCGCTAATCTGAAGTCAAGAATAAACACAAAGGGTCACTGTTTGTGAAGACAGGTGCATAGCGTTTGTTGATACTGTAGTATCAGTTATATTCAGCGAACCTGAAAGATATCAACTTTGTTCTATATAATGAGTGACCGGTGGGCTAATTTAATGAAGAGCGAATCGTTGTGGACTTTCCTTGAATATAAGCTTCTTATAACAGTGGGCTCAGTTAGAAAAGACGTCAGTTCCTACCTAGTGAGCCATATGCTTGCATTTTGTTGTGACTAACGGTTTGACTAGTTAAGGCTACAACTGCTGCTCTGTATACTTTACAAAGTCTGTTAACGAGGACTGTCTCCGACAGTTAGATTGAACAGGCTTGAAAACATTGTAAGAAATATCATTTCGCACATTTGATACGAAAATTGAAATGAAGATATTAAACTCCTTACTCAGAATTGTATAAACTTTGTGAATATTTTTAAAATTTATCTGTAGAATACAACACAAACGAAAACAGTAAGAGATGAACTCTGAAACTGTGGATCAAATGGTATATAAGTGACTGTTGAATGACTGAAAATGGGCAACACCTTGGTATTTCATAAACTTTAAGGTCTTTGAAATAGAATAACTCGCCGATTTGTCAACTTTTAACGCTTTTGTCCACATAAACATAAGATGACCAGTAAATATGACCAATACATAGATTTTGATAGTTGAATAATAAAGAATGTGATTCTGAATAATGAAACAGACAATTTATTTACAAATGACTAAAGTCTTCACTGAAGAACAGTAAGTAGTATACGGTTTCATTAACGCGGTTCTGTTTTTAGATAATTTATGTCTATATTGGAATTTTTTATTCCCCATTGTTGACTGGCTTTGATCGAATTGACCAGTCTCTATTGTTGGTATATGGGCTACTGTGCAAATGTCTTGATATAGCCAGCGACTTCATTTTGACAGTAAGGATGGATAGTGGATAGCATTGAAATCAAAGATGCACGTTTCAGAGCTCAAATATCAGCAGAGCCTAATCAATTTGATCCAGACCATAAAAATTGGAAATATGAAATTCCAATATCAAAATTCTACTCGTTGCAAAAGTAGAAGTTACCTTAACTCAGTATCCGATGGGATAATGCTCCAGTATTCGAAATGAAAACCTTGCCTGGTTAACTAGTTCACTAGATACTAGCCAGTCCTAAGCTCCAATAAAGAGGAAAGGTTGGGCATAGGACCAGTAAACCCTACCCCGGAAAACCAATACAATCACTAAACAAACTTCAAAGCACAAACAAAATATAAACAACAAAAATAAACTTATTCCTAGTTGGAATCGGAGAGATGAAATGACGTCGGTTGGTGGAAGCCTTCGAGAAGCCAGTCGACCGATGTATCCTCTCGATGAAAGCGAAAGTAAACATTGTGACATGGAATGTCCACACCATTATTGAACCCAGCAAGGCAGCCCAGATTGCAAACGAGATAAGAAGATATCATATTGAAGTGCTTGGAATTTGCGAAAGCAGATGGAATGGAAGTGGACTCTCCAAACTGTCAACTGGAAAGGAGTCATTAATCTACTCCGATATTGTCACCCAGACGACACGACAACCACAAGCACACTGAGTTTTCGAGTGGCTATCATGATGTCCTGCTTCCAAGGCTCTCTCTCATGCAGTGGGAACCAACCTCCTCAAATATCATAACAGCAAGGTTCAACTCAAAAGGAAGGAAGGAAGGTCACAATCATACAATGCTACGCTATGCTATGCACCTACAAATAATGCAGAGCAAGAGAAAAAGGAGGAATTCTACAGGCAACTGCAATCAACACTGGACAAGACCTTACTTTTGATGGCGATATCAAAATTCCAATGGGCGACATGAATGCCAAACTGGGAGGGGATAACACAGGAAGAGAACTAACCATGGGTCGAGAAGCGCTCGGTGAGGTGATGAACGAGAATAGAGAATTGTTTGCAGAATTCTGTGCATTCAACGATCTGATGATTGGAGTCAGGCAGTGTGTTCAAGCACAAGGATATCCACAAAGCGTCATGGATTTGATTTCACCAGACACCAGGCAGGACACACTAAAAATCAGATCGACTTTATCTCAATGTGAAGAAAGTGGAGACACAGTCAGCCTACTGGACACAAGATCAGATCAGGAAGGGGAGCAGATGTAGGTTCACACCACTCACTATCTAGTGCAAGAAAACCCTGCCTGCCAAATCAAATTGAAAACCTTCAAGGAAGCTGGTGATAGACCACAGTTCAAGTACAACACTCGGAAAGTGAAGGACGAAACTACAAAGGAAATCTTCACATCAGCCAGCCATCAAGACAAAATGGGAGATATTGAGGGACATCCCTGAAGAAACCTGTGTGAGAGAACACTGGAAGTCTTTGAAAGAGATGTGGAAAGAAACCTGCACAGCCGTATTAAGAAGGAAGAAGAAAGAAGATAAAGAATGGATCTCAATGGATACATGGAAGCTGATAGAGGAGGGAGAGGAGGATGGTGAAGCAGAAGATGAACCAGTGCAGTGCAAGGATGCTCAGCGACAAGAGGAACTGAGTACAATGTATAAAACACTACACTGGACAAAGAAGTGAAGAAGAGTGCACGCAAAGACAAAAGACACTTCTACGACACACTGGCAAGTGAAGCAGAACAGGCTGCTGGTAGGAGAGACAGAGACCTGACAACATTGTATCAAATAACCAGGTTACTATCCATCTGGGAAGAGACCAACGCAGATGAAACAAATAAAAGATGATGAAGGAAACATAATTACGAAAGAAGAGAAACAAAGGAAACGATGGGCTGACCACTTCAAGAAGCTCTTGAATCGACCACCACCACCTGCACTTCTTCCAGAAATACCACCTGCAGCCCAGCCACTGAACTACAAGTGAACATAAATCCTCCAACAAAAGTGGAAGTCCTGAGCACCATAAAACTACTGAAATGTGGGAAAGCAGCAGGACCAGACGGAATCCCGCCAGAAGCACTGAGAACAGACTCAGAGACAATAGTGGACATGCTCACACCACATCACCATTGCAGAAGGTGTGGAAGGAAGGGAAGGTACCTGCCCATTGATTGGAAGAAGAGCTACCTTGTCAAACTGCCGAAGAAGGGAGACCTCAGTGTTTGCAATAACTGGTGCGGAATCACGCTCCTGTCCACCCGAAAGAAGCAAAACATTATGCTGCGTCATCCTGGGGAGACTAAACGATGCACTGGATTCAAAACAACTACCAGAACAGGCTAGCTGGCTGGATTCAGGAAGTACAAATCATGTGTGGACCAAATTGCAGCGCCACACCAAGCATCATCATAGAACAGAGCATAGAATTACAGTCAACCCTCTACCTCAACTTCATCGACTTTGAAAAGGACTTTGACAGCGTCGACTGAGAGGTGATTTGGAAGCTGCTTCAATACTACGGAATACCGCAAACCTTTATCAGCCTCATTCAACAACTAGCTATATGAAGACGCTACATGCCGGCCAAGTAATTCACAATGGGAAGCTCAGTGATGCTTTTGAAGTGAAGTGGAGACAGGAGTGAAACAAGGCTGTCTACTATCACCCATGATATTCCTGATTGTGGTGGACTGGATCATGCAACAAACAGTGTGGAGCGAGAAGAGGAGGATACGCTGGCTGGACCGTGGAAAAGAACCTAGAAGACTTGGATTTCGCCAACGATGACTTGTGTCTGTTGTTGCACAAACTTGAAGATCTACAGGCGAAAACTAACAAGTTGTCAGAAGAGGCAGAGCAGGGCAGCGAAGACGGGACACCATTCAAGTGAATATAGAGAAGACAGAGGTGATGAAGATACCCAAACAACGCCACCACCACCACCAACAACAACAAGCTGCAATCACCATCAATGGGAGAGATTTAAAGGAAGTAGCCTCCTTCACCTATCTAGGAAGCACTGTTTCAACTACAGGTGGCGGCACAGACGAGGATGTCAAAGTCAGAATCGGAAAGACAGCAAGACAGGCGTTTATTTGTCTGAAACCAGTATGGAGATCTTCTGCACTCAGCCCAAAGAACAAGATCCAGATTTTCAACACCAACGTCAAATCAGTGCCTGTGTATGGTACAGAGACTTGGCGTGTTACGAAAGGCATTTCCAACAAACTACACACATTCATCAACAACTGCCTACACTCGCTATTGAAGATCAGATGGCCAGAAAGAGTAAGCAACAAGGAACTCTGGCTGGTGATGAACCAACCAAGAACCTGTCGCTGAACAAATATGCAGTTGAAGGAAGTGGAGATGGATTGAATCGGGCATACACTGAGAAGGCCGACTGGGGACATCACGCGTCAGGCCAGTTGCTCGAGTGGAACTCCGATGGGAAGCGACGAGTTGGGTGTCGGTGCCGAGGGTGACATGGAGGAGATGGTGTGAGGAGGGAATGGGAGCTTGTGGGCAGTCATGGATCCAGGTCCAAAAGATTACAGAGAAGAGAGTGGAATGGAGACATGCTACTGAATCCCTATGTTCTATTAGGAACCCAAGGGACAAATAATAATAATTATGTGTGTATATCTCGACAAATAGTAATCAAGCTAAAGTCAAGGTTCTTTTGATTACTTTATGGTGGTGAAGACTACGTGTGCATGTTTTCATGTTTCGGGTAGGATGTTTATCATTTCCTTACACTAACTAATACTAAAACTGGATTTATCAGTGTCAATTGGGCGCGGAGACAGTAAAAGATCTAGATGGGAAACGTGATGGCAGTTACTCTGTATTAAATGATCCGTCCTCATGAGTACGTCTCACACGACGTTGACTGTGATCTACATAGCTCAACACTAACGTTTCGTAGCCTATTGTTGACTATACTGAACTGATTAAATGAAGAGTATTTGATATTTTTCA